TGCTCCTAGGGTGCTCCTATTCGCACGAATAAATTCGTGTATAATCAATGATTACAATCAATCCCATCATATTTGTTATTTGGTGATTTCAATTTTTTTTTTATATTTTTGATTTTAGCTCTTTAGGTTAGATGCATGTTACAAAACACACCCTTATATTCACTCAAATTTCAATAACTTTACTTGATATATATATATATATATATATATATATATATATATATATATATATATATATATATATATATATATATATATATATATATATATAATATGGTAAAAGTGAAAATACCTTAAGGGTATACAAATTTCAGTACCCAAAACACCAAAATACGTCGTTTTGTTTGATAGATTTATTATAATGTTTTAGTATTATTTTCCTTTTACATTACATTTTTTTGTCGAACACCTAATAGACTTATATATTATAGTTGAAACTGAAAATTATGTAAGAGGAAGATAAATGGAAACTGGTAACGTATGAACTTATTGCATTGATTGGTTTTTTAAAAAGAATTAGATCACAAATACGATTACCTATTTATTATTTGGGTTTTTACAACTTTATACTAGTTTTCCATGGATATAATGTGGATTAACATTGTTTTTTTTTTTTTTTTTCAAAACAAACCAATCGTGATGTTAAGACCAATGGTTTTATCTAATTGTCCCTATTTATATACTTAATATATTAGTTTAATACATTAACTAATTTTAAAATATATCTATATAATAAAAAAATAAAGGTACGATTAAACTAAAATTATACATATAATAATAATAATAATAATAATAATAATAATAAATTCACATTTCAAAGTACTGTATTCATTTGAAAAAAATAAAGATATAGAACCCTTAAACTACGTCGTTTTGCTAAGTTATAACTTTTTAATCTTGATTTAACTACGATGATTTCCATCCTAAAAAATCTGAATATCCTAACTCCATTTTCTCAAAATCTGTAAACTAAATCATTTCCTAAAATTAATTGTGATTTCAACATTTTCTTCATAAGGTTCTTTGTTCAGTGTTATTTTCCTTCTTAATTCCTACACATAAAATTTGATTTTATTGATTATGGTTCCTAATTGTATCTACGTGACTAGGATTATGGAAGATGATGCAACACCAAATTTATTTGTATCTAAGATTTTTTTTTTTTTCTTACTGAACATTATTTAAGTGATGCAAACCAAAATCAATTTGCAATTGAATTTGCTGCTAATTCGTACCATCAAAAATAAAGTCAGGATTAATCGGAAAAGAAACTAAAGGATTTTGAATTGACAAAAGAAATAACAAATCTACCATTTACAATTTCTATTTAACCAAAATAATATAGTTTAAAGGGGCTTTATACCTAAACTTGCGTGAGGTTGTTATATATTTCACTTTGTCCACATATATATATATATATATATATATTATATATATATATATATTATATATATATATATATATATATTATATAAACGTTTGGTATTTTATTATGAATTTAAATCCATTTTCAATAAAGTTTATTTTTTACTATGATATATTTTATCATTTTAAATATATAATTTTAACGACCGATTAATTTAATAATTTTTAACTCGTTTCTAGAAACATATATTTAACCACCCTTACGTCAACTGTTATATATAATAAATTAACGTCTTATGTCACGTCTTAAAATACGTCATAGCTCGCTTATAACTTGTCAATTATTTTTACGCCCTACAACTTATAATCATAAAACACCACAACTTATCGATTATTTTTAGTAAATTGTAAATTATTTTTACACCCTACAACTTATAACAATAAAACACCACATATTATAATAATTATTTTTAGTAACCCGCCGAGTAAGAACTGATTTATGAACTATTATTATCGTCAAATGTTGATAAGAGTTCTATTATAATGTATTAGTAACTTGTCAATTATTTTTAAGCCATATAAATGTTATACCTTCGGTCGAGGCAGCGGAATATAAGATTTGATTTGAAAATCAAATATAAATGTAAGGATATTTAATGAAAATAATATATTTTATTATTTTCAATATATATATATATCTTAGAAAATAAAAGGTTTGATTTAAAAATCAATATAAATATGAGGATGTTCAAGGTAAAATGAAAAATGATATTAATAATTTTGAATAAATATTTTTTATTAAAAAATAAATTTAATATTTTAAAATTGATAACTGACAGCTATCATTTCAATCTAATTTTCGTGTATTTAGATTTAGATTCGTGTAGATAGAATTAGTCTATGAGGAATGGTGGGATCAAGTAACCAAATCCATTATGAAACGGTCCTTGTTTCTGACAAATACTATTCAATGTCATTTCACATTGAATAAAATCTTTGAACATATCATGATGGAGAACATACACAATAAAATATTTATTATTTATTTCTCTAAGGTTTAAGATATGTTTGGTAGTAGACACACATCGGCCATCGGATCTGGATATGGTCTCGTTTTTTTAAAGGGAAAATACGGGCTACAAAAAATGGAGGTATTTTTAAAATTTAGATATGAAAATGAACATTTTCGGGTATAAACATGCATTCCGTGGAGGTAGGTTTATGGAATGACAATATCATAAATAAATTATTGTATTAAAAATAAAAAAAATTAAAAAAAAAAAAAACTCAAGATCCATTCCGCAGAGCTAGAGTAAATTCCGCGGAGGTAGCTTCAAAGAATTGATCTTCAGAAGAAAGAAAAAAAAAAAAAACAAAAAACAAAAAAACAAAAAAACTCCTCCAAAATTCTTTTATATAATGATCTCTAATTAAAAGAACATAATCACTATATAATGATCTCTAATTAAAAGAACATTTTTTTCCCACCTCACATTCATTCCAAACATTATCAAGAAAATTTCATACTATCATAATATTTTCTTGAAAATAAATAGTTCGGGTAATGAATATGAACCCCGAATAATCGATTTGAAAAAAGAAAAATAAAGATTCATTCATCGGAGCTACCTCCGCGGAGCTCTGTGGAATCTACTATAGCTCCGCGGAATGGATATTGAGTTTTTTAATACACTAATTTATTTATGATTTTGCCATTCCGCGGAGCTACCTCCTGCGGAATGCATGTCTATACCCGGAAATGTTCATTTTCATGTCTAAATTTTGAAAATACCCCTCATTTTTTGACTACTGCCGGTATGAACCCCGAAGAATCGATTTGAAAAAAAAAAATAAAGATCCATTCCTCGGAGCTCCGTGGAATCCACTGTAGCTCCGCGGAATAGATATTGAGTTTTTTTTAACACACTAATTTATTTACGATTTTGTCATTATGCGGAGTTATAGTAGACTCCGCGGAGCTACCTCCGCGGAATGCATGTCTATACGCGGAAATATTCATTTTCATATCTAAATTTTGAAAATACCCCCATTTTTTTTTTTACTATTGCCGGTGTTTTTCCTTTTTTAAACCAATTTCAGAACGGACTTGTGTGTTTGTGTTTTAGGACCGGTTGGTGATGATATTTTTTCGGGATAATATTTGTTTTTTTTTCGGTCCATCTGACCGTGTTTGCGTGCAACTATTTCGGGACTTTCTATTTGTTTTAATTTTTTTCGTATTTTTTTCATTATTTTCTGTTTAAATCAACGACTTATCTCAAAATTTTCATTACCGAATTTATTTAGTAGAAATTATCATTCATTTACAAAATATTTTACTTATACATTTGATATTAAATTGTTAAACACTTAAAGTGTTAAATATAATATAACACAAAAAAGGAACATATAATAGATAGTGGAAAAAGAGGAATACAATATTTTAGAAAGAACAAAAGAGGGTTGCATTTTGTTTTGCTTCCTCATCCCACGTAGGTGCTTTGAAGGAAACAAAAGGCATACAAGGCTTAATTTATACCACCACTCAAATAAGCAAAGCAGCCTTCAAAGGCGTTTGTCCGGATTCGTTTTACCCGATGAAAATAAAATCAACTTTTTATAAATACTGCATCCAAAATGGGTGGTCTAGACCGGACTTTTTGACTGAATCGGGATTGAATCGGCGGTCTAGAGTCTAGACACTTGTCTGATATGGAAAAGGCAAATCAGTGATAATAAATACTGCATCCAAAATGGGTGGTCTAGACCGGACTGTAATTGGCCGGTTTAGGATTATTTCGGGCCCTAGGCAATTTCTAAGACTAATGTGTAATTATGTATGTTTATTTGTTTTCCCTGGCATCTCCGGTCTTCTTTTCCATGTATTTTACTTTCTAAGCTTTATTAAAATCACAAAAATAATCTTATAAAATTATTAAAAAGATATATAACCTTATCCCATAAATCAGTTTAGCGTATAAATCTTGTGCAACACAGCAACATGCACATTAACAAATAAGGTTGGTATCTCTACTAGTTATTATTCACTTAATTTGGCATGTAAATACATATGATTAAAGTTATTTCTGTGAGTTTTATTTGTTTTAAAAATTCAAATAAAATCATTATAAATACAAAAACCAAATGTCAATTAGCTTAGTGATAAATGCCAACCAATATACAAATACGAAGGAAGTATTTGAACGGTAACTTGAACTTTATATTATGAAATCATTATCGATTGCATGACACTTATGCAAACAATTGGAAGTAAATAACGAGTAACAATTTACCGATTTTTAAAGTAAAATTTTGATATAGTTGGTATAAAATTATAAGTACATTGATAATAACATAGGTAATAACTAAAGTACATTAATGTTCATTTCTTGAAAAAAGAATACAAAGTATGTTGATATTTTTTGCAAGTTGTATAATATCAAACTTTCATCTTATGCTTTTCAATATTTTAAAGTCGTATTAGATCACGATTTTATGTTTTATTTCCTTTTCAATTAATGATATTAACAAAATCACGTTTTAATCTTGTAAACCATATATTATCATTGTGTTTTTGACTTGTTGCGTACAAGGACACAACTTAATAAAGAAGATCATAATAACGAAACATTATCCGTTAAATCATAAGCTTTTTTTTTTTTTTTTTTTTTCTTTTCATTATTATTTTCCTCTATTTTCCAAAATGTATAATTTTCTCAAAGGTTTGTAGACATCAATTGTATCATGTTGGTTGGTCTTGTTGACAAAATTCAACATAAGTTTGTTTTTACATATTGCAGGACGCTAACATCACCTGTCAAATTAAATCAATGCTTGGAAGCCATCAAGACATATGCATTTGTGGCTTCCGAATATCCTCTCATCCTCACTCTCGAAGATCACCTTACTCCTCTTCTTCAAGCCAAAGTTGCGAAGGTATTTTAAGTTTAAGATTTATTTACTAATTATTTTCATAAACAAATTTAACTATACTAATAACAGAGTTACATTACAAAAAATATAAAAATACATATTATAAATGTACTCTACGATTGATTATAACTTCAACTTAATACCGACGTCTTATTTCATCCTATTGATAAGGTTCTTTAATTAAGCCAATAACTACGACTTGTTTCATCATGTTGATTAACTTAAGTCATTATTCTTCGTCTTTCAGAAGGATCATAAGGGAGATTATCAAATCAATTACATTAATAGTCTTTGTAAAATTAGATGTACGTCGAGGAACTAGAACAAAATTACCAATAGGTTGTTGATGTTGAAGCATATTATGTTTTCCTTTTCATAATTTTTTCCAATTTCCTTACATAATCAAAATCCAATTTCCATAATCAAAATCCAAACAATAAGAACCAATCAACCAGCTTATTGTTGACAAAGCATAGAAAATTAGATAGTTTAAATAAAAACTAAATTAAAAATTCACAGTTTCACAATAAACCTTCTCATTGTGTTTGAGGGCCTAATTTGAATAATCCCATTTTTTTAATTTGGGGCACTTAAATAGTTTTATACAAGTTTTTTTTTCTTTTTTTTAAAGCCAATTAAATTTTACTCTATAATACTACTTCCTTGGTTACTAATTATACTTAATTTCATAAATTATGCATTATGATAACACCATATACTTATTATTTATTTTTGTTAGATGGTGATTGAAACATTCGGAGATGTCCTATATTACTCAGGATCCGACACTATAACAGAATATCCATCCCCGGAATCCTTAAAAAAACGGATCATAGTCTCAACAAAACCACCAAAGGAGTATCTCGACAAGACCAATAGCATGGAAAAAAATGATGAAGAGAGCTCAGTCAAGATGAAAACCTCACCTGAAGATGATCCATGGGGTGTAGAAATATGCAACCCTATCGAAAAACACAAATCCTTAAATGAGGTTCGAAACTATATATACTCTTTTTTTTCTTACAGTTTATTACCATTATATACAAGAATCTCATTTGAAAAACACGATGCACTTTTTTTGTTTAGGATCAACTTGACGAAAATTTTCAATACGAAGAGGAGAGTGTAAAACAGAATACAGAGCTTGAGTACAAGCAACTAATCGCAATCCAAGCAAGAAAACTTAAAGGTGGAGTCCAAGATTGGCTACATGATGATCCTACAGCAGTTATGCGGATTAGCCTGAGAGAAACACGTCTTGAAAAGGCCATTGAGAATCATGCAACAGATGTCATTAGGTAAAACAACAAATTCTTTCTAATTAGCGACAGAATTTGATGGGTATTAGCAACGGATTTTTCTATCGCAAATGTTCTTTAGTTGTGGAGTGAATGGTGGGTTGTTAATGAGATGAAGTTGGTATCTTTTGAAGGTTTACTCAGAGGAACTTGTTGAGGGTGTTTCCAAAAGGATCGCGAGTTGACTCATCAAACTACAATCCATTGGTTGGTTGGTGTCATGGAGCTCAAATGGTTGCATTCAACATGCAGGTTTGTTTCTGAATTCGTTTTCTTTTGATTAGTGAATGTAATGTGACGTAAAAACTAACTCTTTTAGTTTCTCATAGACCCATGGAAGGTTTCTGTGGTTAATGCAAGGAATGTTCAGAGCCAATGGAGGTTGTGGGTACGTGAAAAAACCAGATTTATTGCTTAAAAATGGCCCCGATGACAACGTTTTCGATCCTAAAATTCCACTTCCTGTGAAGAAAACTCTCAAGGTATCACTTTTAGCCCTTCTTTATTGTCAAAACCACAATCGTTAATTGATAAATACAAGAGAAATTAAGAAGCTAATGTTTCACAGGTGAAAGTCTATATGGGTGATGGGTGGCATTTAGATTTCAAAAGAACACATTTTGACATATATTCGCCTCCAGATTTCTATGTCAAGGTTCACTCTCATTCCCATCATCCAATACATTGATTATATAAACTGAAAAGTCAAACGTTTTGTTCAGGTTGGAATTGCAGGAGTTGAAACTGATTCGAAAATGAAGAAAACCAAAATCATTCAAGATGATTGGACACCAAAATGGGACGAAGAATTTCAGTTCCCATTAACAGTTCCTGAGCTTGCATTACTTCGTATCGAGGTGCATGAATACGACAAGACTGAAAAGGATGATTTCGGTGGTCAAACTTGTCTTCCGGTGTTTGAATTAAGAACAGGGATTCGAGCTGTACCCCTTCATGATCACAAGGGTGATAAATACAACTCGGTGAAACTACTTATGCGTTTTGAGTTTGTATAACTTGTAATAATCTTTCTTTCTTTTTATTATACGGGTAAATTAATGTGTGCTTTTTTGGATGTTTGACGAATGAAATAAGTAGATTCTACATGGAACTATTAACATAAGCGGCAATATGTTCCAAAAATTGATGAATGAAATCAATAGATTCATGGGTACTTGACTTATATATGTTCAAAACTCATTACATAATTTACTCATTCTTCCCAACAGCTTGCAACAAAATAAGGACCTTAAGGAAGAAATAAGAAGCACCTCCAATGGTGGCATACTGTAATTTCTCCGGCCCCTCAACTTCCGGGAAATCTCCTTCAACAGCACGATTGAATCCCCCAGCCAACCATCCCAAATTCGTATACCCGTTTTTATATAGCTTTGATGTAGCCATCATTGACCTGTAACGTATACAACACTTCCTAAAATCAAACATTCGATTCATAATCAAACAAAGTAAGAAAAATTAACAATTTATTATATATATACCTTAAACCTTCTCCACAAGCAACGAGAACCTTAGTGGTCTTATCAGGAACCATCTTCTCCACTTGATCAACGAAATCGGGATTCATCGTTGTGAAATTCTGACCAGTCCATAAACCAATGTAACCAAAGTGAACCCATTTCTTCAGCAGTGTTAGTGGGCTGTTATCCATGTCTTGGATAAACAGTGGAACGTGAATTCCTCCTGACACACGTGCCTTTTCTATCTCCCATTTTGGCCTGATGTCCAGGAGCTTGTATCCGTCGTTGTTGATGGCTGCGGAGGCGTCTTTTGGGAGGATTGCCACCACGGTGCCGGACTGTATTAGTTTTAGTGGGTTGTCGGAGACTGCATGGACCTTGACGGTGGTTGTGCGGTGGTGGGGATAGGTGGAGATAGGTAGTTGTTTCAAAGGGAATGTGTGAGAACGGATTACCTGGATTTCCATCTATCTTCTTTTTTTCTCTCTCCTTATCATAGACTAACGGTCCTAAGAGCAACCTCGATGGGTGTTTTCCCGGGTTCAATAATCGGCAACCTCCGGGCCTATCTAGACTTTTTACTAGAAAAATCCTTAAATCCATATGTTTTGGTTTTGTTGTGGTTTTTATTCGGATCAAATTAAAAGGCTATTTTGTAACTCTTTTTTTAAGATAATTAATCCTGTTAATGGGATCCACCCTTCCTTTTTCCATTTTCCCTTGGTTTTTCACCGCAGGCTCCATCTTTGCTTTTCTCTAGGGTTGTCAAATCGAGTAGTCATATCGTGTTTTTGTCTAACACGAAACGACACAACAATGTTTTGGATGACACGAACACGACACAACACGATGTTTTTTTTTTCATTAACACGAAAACGAACTAATTAAAACACGACAACACGACACGACAAAGATAATATTACATAACTATTAGTGTATTTCATTCATACTTAAAGATATATAACACGACAAACACGAAAAACACGACAACCATATGCTTAGTCGTGTCAATTTCGTGTCGATTTATGAACACGAACACGATACGACACGGCATCGTGTTTTTTAATCTTGACACGAACACGAATTAGAATTTTGATTTCGTCCCGATTTCGTTTCGTTTCGTGTATTTTTGTCGTGTCGTGTCATAAATTGACACCCCTACCTTTCTCTTCCGTTGTCCCCACCACCACAATGAAGGCTCTATCTTTTCGTGTTGACAAAACTGCAAAGTTCTTTGTGGTTTGCAAAAATTTTTGGATGGGTCCAAAAAGTTTTCAGCTTGCATAAAAGGTTCAAGATCAAGGTTTTTCACAGTTTTTTGTCCTAAACTTAAGAAAAAATTGTATTTTTAGTCCATGGAGCACTTGAATTGACTGTTTTGCCCTTTAAATTTCTTTTTTATATTTTTATACTTTTATTTTATAACTATTAATGCAGTTTTGTCTTTTTTTATTTGTTTAAGTATTTAAATAATAATAACAAAATAAATAATGAAATTTCACCTTCTTTGATAATTATAAAAAAGAAAAAATAAAATCACATACCCTTTCTCTCTTTCTCTATCTCTCTCTCTCATCCCAAACGAAACCACCCACCTCAACTTCATCTTTTCCGGCGGCTCACCCCACCCTTATCGGCACTTCATACCTCCCTCCTTCCCATCGAAAAAACCCATGATTCCTCTCTTGCTTTCCATGGATTCCTCATAATACCCGGTTTGACAGAGGGTTTCTACCCCCCTGTCTTTCCACGCTTGCTTTCCGGTGAGGATCTCGATCATAGTGCATCCCAATTACCTCTAACAACCATTTCCCCTCTTCCCTTATCAATCGTTTTGTCTTCTCCGACGACCGGTTGCTTTTCTCCAAAGGACAGGAGTCCACATCTTTTAATGAACATATTTTGAGATTTAGGTTTGGTTTCTAAACTTAAAATTATTGATTTGTAATATCTTTTCTGGTTTTGCTAGTTACTGGATGACATAGGTGGCGGATAGAGGGAGAGGAGGAAGAGCCTAGACAGATTTTGATGGAGACGACCGGCTATGGCTAATCCGATTTTCATCTTGATTGTTAGCCATGACTGATCTCTCCAAATTCACATATATTAACTTTAGGTCACAAGGGGGAATTAAGATGATGTAGGCGACGGATGGAGAGGGAGGAGGATACAAGTCAATTATGAAGATGGTGGAGAGAGGATGCAGGACATGTAGTTGGTGATGAAGAAGGAAGACGAAGAAGATGAAGTCGAGTGTGTGTGTGTGTGTGTGTGAGCGGGGGAGGAAGGTACCGTTGATGGGTGTGGGGTAGGGTGTTTTCTTTTTTCTTTTTCTTTTTTAATTATTAGAATATGTAAGTAAATAAAAAAATGTGAAAAAGGAATAATAAGGGCAGAATAGTCCTTTCATCTTTTTTAGGGCCAAAACCAAAGAAAAGTTTTGATTTTGGACTTTCTATACAAGTTGGAAAGTTTTTGGCCCTTATCCAAAGTTTTTTGCAAACTACAAGGACCAATTTTGTAGTTTTGTCTTTCGTGTTTTATCCACAGTGCACTTAACTTCATAGAGTTTAATAGATTGTCACATCATATTTTTACAAACCATGCAATTCTATTATTTTTTTCTACAACGCATTGAACTCAATAATGTTTAATAGAATATTACAAAACGTAATTTATAGTATATATTTAATAATAATAAACTTTTTTTTTTCATTGAAAAGTTCAATAACCATTGAACTCCAAATCCATTGAATGCCAAGGTGGCATCTCACAATAGTAAAGTTTCATCTATTGAATGACACTTAGATTCGCCACATCATTCAATTATCTCATTAAACTCACCATTATGAATGCTCTAAGTATATGAAAATTGAAACGCATGGTGTTGCAGATTTTGAAATCTAGTAACATAAATCACACAAAAAACAAAAAAAAAATAGACAGATGCATGGAGTTGCAAATCCCTAAATTCAGTTACATATCTTGGTTGTGGACCACTCCTTATTTCTCATGATGATGTCCTCTAAAACTTACTATGAATTTAATAATTCCACCTCTCAACTATTAGTTTTTATTTTCCATCTATCCAGCTCATACTCTTTCAACATGTTAATGTTTCAACCTTACATATCATAATATATTTCAAGGTATACCCTTAACCCGAAACCTAACACAAAGTCGAAAACAAAACTAAACGGATTGACTTCATGTTAATTAAAAGATTCGAGTTAGGGTGAAGCTCTGATATTGTCATATTTATACACATATTTAGGCATTATTTTTATACATTTAAGCTATATTTTTGTAAAATGTAAAGATATGTGGTACTTATAAAGTTAAATTGTATTTTGCAACCAAAAATTACATTTTCGAAGGAAAATGAGCTTAAATCGACAAAAGCTAGATACTTGGAGGACTGGAGTTGAAACTAAGAGCTTAAGGAAGAAGAAATCGAGCATTATACACTACCTACTACGTGGAGAACAACATGTCATGACGTGTCATTCAAAAGATTCTTGATCTGTGCATGAAGATGATTCTCACAACGTCACTATATCTTAGTCATGATGTGACCACATGTCCTTAGAAGATCCATATACTACGAAGTATAGTTTCTTTGGCGCATACAGGATAATCACCATATTCATGTCGTGACAACCTTATGGTCACAATGTGAAGACTGATTTTATGGAAACTATAAATACCAAACATTATATCGACTTTGAGATCTAGAGAGAGACAACTTCCAGACAGAAACTTGCGATTAAGAAATGAAAAATAACCTTGTAAGAACCCTTGGAATGATTGAGAAGATTGGAGATCAAGAAATCAACAGATTGGAGCAAGGAATCCACAACATTCATTCGATTTGCATTGATCTAATCATGTCTATCTTATTTATCCATGTAATTATGTGTTTCTTTTCTACATTTATGAGCTAAATCATTAAACTTTCGTTTAGTAATGATGAACTGCAATACTATGTGTTAGTTTCTATTTTTCATAGATTTATGAAGTTGGTTTAGCTTGAGTTTGATATATAAAAGCCTGGCATGTTAATAGTTTCAATCTTTGTTGCTTACATCTTCAAGTTTTGTTTAGTTGAATGATTACTTTAGTTACATGAACTTGTTTACCTAGTTGTTTATGAATCTTAAATTGTTAGAGCTAGTAGTTTACCAAATCCTAGAATAGGTAATAAAGATAGTTACTTTAACTATACTAGAGAACATAATTGGATCATAAATTGTAGTTTGATTATTTGTCTAGATCATAGATAATTAATCTTTGATGTATCATACATAGCCCAATAACATTAATAATCAATTTGGTGTCCACTTATGTAAGACCATTGCATAGTAGTTCATAAATTGGTGAAAACATTAAGAGATTGGATTAAGACTTCTAATAACATTTATATTGCTAACCAACTAAAATTAATCTATGTTTTGAAACTAACCATAGGAAAAAAAAAGTGATTCAAAGTTAAACGGAAGTGTCTTTATTCTCTTGGTTTACAATCATATTTAATTATTTGCTTGCTTTAGTTTTAAGAGTAATTAAGTTAATATGAACTTGCAAATTAGATAAAACACTCACTTTTAGTTGTTCTTCTTAGATTAATCTTTAGTAGTTACTTTATTAATTAAATATTGTTCCCTAAGTTTGATACCCGACTTATTTTTCTATACTATAATCTAACTAGGTACACTGTCTATAAATGCATTAATTAGTTAAGTTTTATTAGGCTATAAATTTAAAATTGATAGGTATATTTACTCGAACATTTCCATCTCAACTTCTTTATTGTTTTCACATGACATAACACATTTGTCATATTATTACCCCTAAAGTCTATGTTTGACTTTTAAGAGTCAAAGCTTATACCTAATGGAATTATGGAAAGGAGACCAAAGAAAGCATATCACCAACAACATATATAAGCCTAACACATCTAAGAAAGCTTGCATTATCCATGATTTTCCCCCTAATTCACTCACTACATGGATCACTTTCACAGAGTACACATAAATAAAAAATATAGAAATCTAATAATTACCAGATTGGTAATTGTTAATACAACTGATAACAAAATGCACTACCATCCATCATGTTCAAACTGTACCAACAAACATCCTTCGCATACCCTTTTAAGAAAATTGCATGAATCCAAGTTGTCCAATAGTAAGCATTAACCTCACACCGTTTACTCATAACCGATAGCGCAGATGCAACCCCTTTTAGTGGGGTGCATGGACTCCACTTTGTAGTTAATCCTACCATATTTACTACAAGAAAACCCTCCAAATATTCATATTTTTACTAAAAAAAAATCTCCTCCCTAGCACCCATTTTTACATTAAATAGCCCTTATAGATATTTTTTACTAAAAAACTCAAAATACTTCAGATTTTCAGAATTTTATATTATTATATATTTTTTTATAAATAACTAACATCGGTTAGATTTCATTTTGATCCGCAACTGCTGATAACACAATTCCAAACATGTTTAGTCACTTTAATATTATCGTATCTTAATAAGGAATTCAAATCACTTTCAAAAGCCTCCATTGGG